GTTGATTCAAGGGCACAGACATCAGATCCGAAAGCAGCAGTTAGCTAAGAATCCGATTGTCTTTGTCCACAGTTTGCTAATCTGCACCTCATACCATGGGTCCAGGTACCTTGTCTTTGTGTTCCAGTTTGTTGAAAAGCCCTTAGGTCAGGAAAAAAAAAGGCAAAAGTGCTGCATAGTGTGATCACTGTGCATTACAGAATAGTAGGAAATAGGGCTGGAAAAGACCTTTGTCATCTAATCCACTCTCCTCCTCCCCCGCACTACTCTGCAGATGCTGTTGTTGATTCAGTCAAACTGTTTTTACATGCAGAGGAATCCGTCAGAGTCAGTGGGAAACACCTGTAGCTCTGGGGTTAAAGAGTGTGCCAGCTAGTAAAAAGGCTAGTAACTTTTGTGTCACCGTGCAGGAATAAAAGCAAGGAGCTGCAAAATGGAGGTAAGTTCTCTCTGAGGGTCATCTGGTAGAACAGAAGGTGTTTTAGGCGGTGTGATAGAGTCAGAATGCCATCTGCTTTTGTAGAAGCCCTTGGGACAATGGAAGTATTGATAACTCTAGCTGGTCATGGGTGTAGTGGAAAAGAGTTTAGGAAATGTTTCAATGAAAGTAATACACGTCTCTGGAAATGCTTGTTTGCTGTTGAACCATTGTTTTTTTTTTCTTTCTGTGAAGACTAAAATATGAGGGAAATCTCATTTTTTCTCTCAGAATCTGGGTTGAATTTACTTGTTGAAGTGTTTGGTTGTATCAGAGCATTAAAAGGTGCTTTTTGGGCATATAATAAAGTGGACTTTCAACACATGGCAGTGGATGTATGTTATTTTAAATGGACCATACTTAACTTTTTTTGCTGATGTGCCGTGTTTATTTGCCTCGTTGTGTAGTATGACTGTACAGAGCCATCAGCAATAGCTCACTAGTGAGCCTGTGTGGGACAAATGCTTTGGGTTTTGTAGTCAAACCCTGACTGGGAGAGGGGATGCTTTTGGAAGGAAAGTAATTACCAGAAGTTGTTGTTTCCAATTGTGTTGTGACCACTGACGTGTAGTTTTTTAAGTTACCAAGGCAGAATGAAATCACTGACAGACCCTTTCAAAGAGTGATCTTGCAACAACACAGGCCTGAATTCAAGCTACTGGTTTCTCCCTACCACACAAAGGAAAAATCTTTTCAATTAAATAATTTCTGTCTTTCAGCTAAACACATGTGACTGAAGTTATGATCGATTTTAAATTGACCTGTAGGATATAGTGCTGGGTTTGTTCTGCTTGCATTTTAACCTCCCTAAAGGAGAATCTAGTGAGTTAACTGCTATGTTAGTGTTTGCAAATTTTATTATGTTTCTTATTTATCTTTGCTAAAAGTAACATGAAGAATACATATTCATGTTCATACAGAAAAAGAATTAAAAATATTGTATTAACTCTAGTAATAAGTGCTATAATTGTATTATTCCTGAATTGATACAGGCAATATTTGTTTAAACAATAGAAATTGCAACAAAAGTAAAGAACAAGGAAGAGTAGAATCCTATTTATAAATTAGTACAATTTATTAAATGCACATCTGACTTTGTTTTGAAGCAGCATTTTTACTTTGGTTCAGAACAGTTTGAAAGATGTTACGTACAAGGATTAAATCTCAAGACAAAAAAACTTCACTTTTAGATTTGTACCCTTTTTTTGTGTTTCCAGTGTACCCTCTGAGCCAAAATCAATTATTTGTCCCCTTCTGCTTTTGATTGATTCCTACTTCATGGTCATCATATTCGGTTTTCATATGGTACAGAGAGCATATATGAGCTAGATGAAAAGGAACTGTTAATTTTGAACTTTAAACCTTAACCATCCTAAAAGGGAGGGAAAGGCTTTGCCTCCTGGCTATTGTACACAGTGTGAGGTGTGGTAAAAAACTTGTCCTGGAAAGATGCAGTTGTGACAGAAACACCCTGAGTGGCACAGTGTGAGTCCCTCTCTGAAAGCAAAGCAGTTTTATGGGCTGGTGATCATAGAATCATTTAGATTGGAAAGGGCATTTAGGACCGTCTCAACCTAGCTCTGCCAAGTCCACCACTAAGCCGTGTCCCTAAGTACCACATCTACATGGGCAGCCTGTCATGGCACGTGTAAGGAATGTGTTTTGGAATGAGGTCTGCTATTTACCGTAGCCATTAGTTTAAGGAACACAACTTTCCCAACAGCTTTAAAGACTGTCTGTTTCAATATTTTCTGTGTCCTTCAAAAGACTGACAAAATTGGCAACAAAATAATCCCAAATCGGCTTTTTGAGTACATATGGTGCTAATATAATTCTCAGAGATGTCAGGGCACTCTAACAACATTTTCCAGGGGCTTACTGAAGCATTAGTTAGACTGATTTGTGGAGCCTCAGCTTGAACTTTACTCTCTTTTCCTATCCCTTGCAGTCTACTCTAGAAGTTATTGTAGGCAAAACTCATGCTGCCTGGACCTAGCAGGCAGGAAAGTCCCTGCTTGTGAAGAGGAGGTGATGAATAGTCACGCTTCTCTGACTGTCCCTGTTCATGCTTCATCCCACTGCAGACTGTGGCAGCCTCAGTGGTTTTACCTCCCACCTCCCACTGTAGGTCGTGTCTCAGGAGGACATCCTGCTCACTTTCTATTCCATTTTCTTTTCTTTTCTGTGACAACTTTTCTCATTCCTTTGCTAAGCATTGATTAAACTACAAATTGATGGCAGCAATGAAATGCACTATATTTCTCTTGCAGATATGGCAATGGTTTTTGTCATTATTTTTATGTTTGGGAAAGTTTAAGGAGTTTACATCACAGGCTGTTTTCTACTGTAAATATAAAATGGTCCACAGATAGGTTCTAAACTACAGGCCATCTTATGTGGCAAAAGTAGTTCCCAGTCTTGGTGGGTTTTGTAGCCATGTAATTGAAATATTAGAAGACAGATTCACAGCAAGTGGGGGGTTCTAACATGCTAATTGTTATCTGCTAATCAATATATTATTTAAACTGGAGAAAAATGTGTCGCTGTTCTCATTAGACTCATTAGACTCGGTGCTTTTCATCTTACTCTCAGTTATCTTGTCCTCTTTCCCCCCCACCTCCTCCCCACACATCACTGGTCAGCAGCAGCACATGGGAAATGATCAAGCTGAAAGTTAACCCATTGCACACCACAAAAATGTTTGACAGATTCAGCAGATGGAACATTAGACGGAGAGAAGGTATTAAGAAATCCAACTGCCTTGCTTCTGGGTTAGGCAGAAATACCTCCAATGAATGACTTGCTTCTATGCAGAGAAGAAATAGAGCAGTGAAGGGAAATGAATCTTCATGTTACGTAAACTAGATCAGTACTTTAGTACTGCCAAGTAATTCGGTATGTGGTGCTTGCCCAGGCCACGGGTGCGGCGAGGCTCATGGAAGCTCCTGATTTTCTTGAATTTTCCAGCTAAACGGAATGCTGGTCTGCTGGCAAGAGCAATCAAGCCCAAGGACAGACGTGAAGGACTTCTTCCTTCTTCTAGCAGGGATGAACTTGGTTACTATATTTGCAAGTGTCGGTCTGATCTGAGCCAGCACATGATTGTGCTGCTTCTTGCTCATAGTCTCTTGCCTGGTTTCAGGGGGTAAGGGGTGGGGAGTAATCCCTCTTTGAAAAGCAAAACCCACGTAATTCTTTTAGAAATTTCTATAAGCATATAATTATGTTTAAAATTAATGAAAAAATAAGATGATCCCACCCCAATCTTAATTATGATTATTCAAAAGAACAGCTTGAAAATACACTTATTTGAGAAATGGATAGTATTTTAACTGAGCTGTAGGGGGAAATATCTGATGGTGTGGTATCTTTTGTGATGTAGCTGGAGTGGCAAAGTCATATACTGTAGTAGTTAAAAAAGGACAAGGTGTTTAGGATTGCAAAACACCAATATTTTGATGTATAGATAAGAATGGAATAGAAAACTACAAGCAACAAATTTGTTTCAGTCAATAGTTGATCTTATGGCAACATATTCTGAGGTAAAATGGATATTCAGAGTTTCTTATAACTCGGTATATTGAACTCCCAATGACAGAGAATGTTATCTGTGTTATTGTACAAAACCTTGAAATTTGTGCTGCTACAAATTTCCACTTTTGAGCATCAATAGAAACATATGTGTTTTAGGATTTTTAGGAAGTAGAATTAATTTTAGATAGAAAATTTTTACTTTTCAATGTATTTCCAACTTTATAATGCTAAGAATAATTCTATATATAGTTTTCATGCTGAGCAAAATAAGGTTGCTCCTGTGATGAGATCATTCTTTTAAAATCCTGACATTTACATTACATGTAAGTACATATGATAGTGAGACTTCTGATGCACATTTTCTGATGGTATGAAACTGCAAAATATTGGTAAAATACATTGCAAGTGAAGAGTGAACTCTTGTAAAAAGATGAAATTTCTCTGTGGTACCCAGTATGGGTATCCTGAGTATTGCTTTGGATCTCCAGGAGGTTTTGGTTGGAAGGACACTTTTGAAACACGACTTTGAGAGCAGTCTTGTTTATAAACAGAAACAAACTTCAGAAGTTTGAGGCTGCCTTTTTTATTACTCAGTGTACCTTACAAATTTGCTAGTCTCGGGGGTATTTCACTTACTGTGATACATTTCCCACATAGACTATCCCATTTGTCTATTTTTTATTTTTTTTTTACTGTCAGTCACCAATCCTACCATGTTCAAACCTTTTAGTATGTTATTTGTTATATGTTCAATATATTCATAATCATTATAAATATTTTTCTGGTTTCCTATGGCATGGTGTTTTCCCCACTAATATTTTAATTGACTTTGTAGCTTATACTACGTTTCACATTTGGTTTTGGTCTAATTCTCCTCTCTCTTTTTTTTCTTTATCACTGGAAAAATAATTTGTGTTTAGCATCTGTAACTATGAGTACTTCAGATTTTTACTTTGCATTTCTAATACCCGTTCTTTATCTGTTTTAGCATCTCCCTGTATTCTTCCCAGTGTTCTTTACTTCCTATTTTCTTGTAAGTATAGCATATTCTCTTTTTCCCCTCAGTTTCTATTGACCTATTTAACCATGTGGAGTTAATTGAAGCTACATCTCACTCCTGAAGAAAATAATATAATCACTGTATAAATATAAATTCAGTTCCATTTATACACCCTCTCTTTATGACTGGGTATATTGCTATTTGTCTAAAAAGTATTATATGCAATATCTTTTTACCTAACACGGCTGTCTAAAATTGCACAGCGTTCACCTTGGTAGAAATTAAATTTCAATTCCATTTGCTGACACTGTCCTGTTTCTATTTTCTTTATTCTGGTTGTTTAGTGTTTGGAATCTGACATAAACAGGTGGGTCCCTGGCAGATTTCAGGAAAAAAACAGTCATATAATTCATCTATCATTTTGTGGCATCTATGACATGTTCTAAATGGTTTTTCCAAGTTAAAATTGAGCTCGCGGTTGTGGCAAGTTACATTGCTAATCCCATTATTTTTGTGTACACTATCTTTGCTTTACTCAATAGTCATTCTTCTGTCTTTTGTGTAGTGACTTCCCTTGATATTTTTGGTTTCTCTTTGTGTTCTTAATGGATTGTTTCCTAAGGCAAGATTCAGCATTTTAGGCATCTACTGTATCTAAAATGTTCAGAGCCTGTCACCCATGAACCACCTCTTAGTCAACAGAAGTCCAAGCACAACTTTATGAACTTCCTGCTGATCATGTGAGGTTTCAGTGTGGGGCTTTGGAACTGCAGCAATGGGAGCTGTAACAATTTGCAAGCCCAAAATTCAAATGGAGATTATTTTTTTCCCCCTGCTTTCTCAAATGACTAGGTTGTTGACCCAAGTCCTTACATGGCCTTGCAGTGATAATATTTTTTAAAAGCTACAAATTTACTCTTGAACCTTGAACACACCAGAATGACTTCTGTGAAAAGATGTGCTCCTACCTCCATCTCCAAATAGTCAAATAAACCTTGCTTTCCTATTGCCAGCTACAAAAACTATAAAATTCTCTCTGAGGCCACCACACACTTTGATTTAAAGTATCAGACATGATACACTTTGTTCTTGGTTTTGGTGTAGCAACGGGCGTTATGGTACCTAAATAAACCTCCCTTGGTTTTGGTGTGGTTGATAGTAGTTGCTAAGTCCTACTCTCTGAGACAGATCTTAACTGGTTTGTGTTTTTTGAAACTTGCTCGGAAATTTGCCTTAAACCACATTGTTTTTTCTGTTGCTTGGTTGTTTTCTCTGCCACATCTAATCCACTTCCTAATTTTTTAATTTTTTTTCTTCAAAATTTCAGCCTTGTAGTATTAGTATTAATAATAATTTAGAGGCTGAGGTTTAATATTAATATATAATATTTCTATTACTATATAATATATTAGTGCTACTGAAACAGTATGCCCTACTTAAATATCATAGTGCTTATTCTGTTGCCTCATTAGCTGTCTCTTTTGTCTAGCAATAGTATCATTGTTGGTACTTTCATCTAGATATGTATAATTTCTCTAAAGAAGAAAAATCCAGTACTTCATAAAAGCAGATTTTTACAGGAGAAAATAGCTTTTGGGGATTGGGACCACCTGTAACTAATAACCCTGGATTCTATACTGACTTGCTTTGTAGCCTGAGGGAAGCCACTTTGGCAGCTTTGCACCATTTGCTATGTATGACAGCGTGTGTTAACTACTTAATTAGTGGTTTATGGACCTAGCAGCTTAGGTTTTTTGTCTGTAGATTTTTCTTTTGATAGTTTGTTCATAAATATGACAACAGTCAATGAAGTAGAAAGCCTAAGGTCTTAAATAGAAGCTTACTGCTTTCCTCAGCGATATGAAGAGCACCCACCCAAACAGTACCCATGCCTGTGTGATCCAGCCTGCTGCGTAAGGACAGCCTCCAGTCCTTCCAGCTTCTGGCTAAAAAGCTGTTCACTGCTTTCAGCTGTGGTTGTTTCCTAGGGATTTACGTTTATATTTGCTTATTTACTACTACATTATTTATTGCAAAACTTGTTGAAAACATGTCCTTAGGATGGGCATTTTCCCAGGACCCCAAGCCATCATTGTAGAATGGTTTGGGTTGGAAGGGATCTTAAAGATCATCTAGTTCCAATTCCCCTGCCATGGGCAAGGGACACCTTTCACTAGACCAGATTGCTGAAAGCCCCTTCCAGCTTGGCCTAGAACACTTCCAGGGACAGGGCATCTCCAGTTTCTATGGGCAACCTGTTCCAGTGCCTCACCACCCAACAGTAAACAGTTTCCTCCTAATATCTAATCTAAACCTCTCCTTTTTCAGTTTAAAACCATTCCCCTTGTCCTATTACTACATGATCTTGTCAGAAGTCCCTCTCTACTTTCTTGTAAGACCCCTCTAGGTATTGGAAGGCTGCTCTAAGGTCTCCCTGGGCCCTTCTCTTCTCCAGGGTGAACAGCCCCAACTCTCTCAGCCTATCTTCATGGGACAGGTGCTCCAGACCTCTGATCATCTTTGTGGCCTCCTCTGGACTTGCTTGAGCAGACCTGTGTTCTTGTTAAGCTGGGGGCCATGTTCAAGATCTTCGCTGTCTCTGCAAATATCACATGTGGAGAACTGCACCATTGGTACTGGGATCAAGCTGTAGGGTAAGATGACGTGAAAACAAATGCCTCCTGTGTCTTTTAGTACTTGCCTGCAGTGATACAGCATAAAACCTTGTTGAGAGAGGATATCATATATTTTTAACTCATGCAAAAATTCTGATCCAAGTCTTTGGGTAGTTTACTTTAGAATTTTCTCTGAGGTTTTTTTTTTGTTTGTTTTGTTACTTCTGTTTGTTGGGGGAGGGTGGATGGTGTTTTATTTGTTTGTTTGGAGGGTTTTATTATTATTTAATATAGGAAGAATAAAGAATTCTGGATATGCTCCATGAGTTCTCCAATTGAGGCAAGTCCTCACGTATGCGCTAATCCTGGCTGGTATTTCCAAAAACCACACAGGAGAGATCAGATTCATCTTGAAAGCACAGGTTATATTTACTTACTCCTTTCCATCATGTCTCCTTTCAGCTGTTGTCAGCAGATCATATTTTGAATTTATTCCTCTCTGTCAGTACAAAAGGACAAATTTGGCAAGGTGATACACTGTTCTGAATTACTTTCAGTTCAGGGCATCTAACTATCCAACACCTGTTGCATGGGATACCTTTCTTCGTCCTTCTTTTAATGTGGGCTTATTTTCCCAGAATACTGGGAAAATGGTTGGAGAGATTGCCTCTAGAACAATTTGTGAATGCCTCTTTAAATGTGGTGCAAATATCAGTTGTGTGCTTTGCCTAAAATCAAGGTCTTTTGGAAATCTCTTGGCTCAAATCCTTGGCTCTTCAGTGGAGACTACTTTCCATTGATTATGTCTGAATCAAAAATGAGAACCTACATGCACTTCATAGTATACTGTTCATCAGAGGATCCTAAAGCTGTGTTTGCACTTCCCCAAGACTTCTAATCTTCTTTTCAGCCTATTTTCTTCCAACCCTTCAGGCAGCAGAAGTGTTTAAGGAGCTAGCAGCCCTCTTGCTAAAGTGCAAGGCTCAGGACTAAACACCCAGCACTGCAATGGTTAGTTCTTCACTTGAGGTTTTTGGGAACCTCTTTGAAAAGCCAGAGATTCCTCCTTTGTTCTTCCCCTTCCCACCCCAACCAGTTATTTATACCAAGGCCAGTAATTTATTATAAGAGGGTGCTGCTACAGAACAGCTTGCCTGTGTTAGTAGCAGCCAGCAACATTATGTTTTGCAGGTTACTCAAGGATAAAGTATAGCCGGTCATGTCAAGGCACACAGCTGTGCACCCTTGTGTACTGGAAGATGGCTTCAGGTTCATTTGCCACCTCTTAATGAACTTCTTGGTGAATATTCCACAGGAGGCTGAGGCATCTTCTCTGAATAGCAAACATTAGACAGTGGCTGGAAAGACACGTGTCCCTGTTCCTGAGGTAGATATGTAAAAATAGAGGCGCTTCTTCCCAGCAGGGCTGAACTCCAGATGCTCTGAGCACTCTGATCTTGGGGTTCTCTGAAAAGCTTGGCACGTGCATATCAGTGTTCTGAACCTCTGAAAGTCCCGAACCTTCTTTGTCTACTACTTTTCTGCATCGAAATGCCAAATGCTCTGGGGAGGATGGGGGGGGAGCAGAGGGGGTCAGGGGGCAGTTTTGAATGGTATTGAAAACCTCATCTATGTGGTAAGAATGAACCTGCCAATAAGTATTCACATCTGTTTTCTAAATGAAGGTAAATGAAAGAATTCTGCCAATATAGTGCTATACCTATCTATATAAATCTCATCCATAATTTAGCTAAGATATTTTATAATGTTTTGATGTCCTTACAAGCATTATATCATGTGTACCATGATATGTATATGCTTATGTCTATAGAGGAAATTACCTGTGATGTCTTTTGGCAGTATCTGCTCTAGACTAGCCTTGCATTATGGCACTGATATTCCACAGAAAGCCATTTTTTCCATCACCCTGGGGATTGGATTAAATTGCAGTGAGGTGCTTTTAATATAGAATGTGTTCACCTCAGGAGTTAGTGTGAAATAGCTGGGTTTAAACCTTAGCCTATTTTGCAATAGCTTTCCTCTGTAGATGAGCCCCGAGAGATGTCCTTGCTTAACTCTCAAATTTGAGAGCATTTTGGATGAATGCTGCGGTATCATAACCTGCAGCTCTAAAAATATCAAGATAGAAGAGTTTTCCCCTATGAAACTTTCCCAGTATTAAAATGCCACAAAAAGGACTCTGTAGCCTGCAAAAGGTTTTTCTTGTTTGTCCTTATTTGTGAGAAAAAGAAGTGCAATCAACTCTTTGCTTCCCATATCAATTACTTTGGTGCATGCTGCTGTGAAATGTGGCTGGGATTTCTTGACTGGAGTAACATTGGGAGGCACTTAGGAATTTTTATGTACTTTTCTTTTTCCTTACAGCCATCTAAAATGGTGAGAATAATCATGTGCACT